CGAAACCTTGCTTTCAATTCTCCGTTAAATGCAGATCCACTGCATTGGTGGATTTTTCTAAAATGCAAATAGCGGTGATTGCAGTGGCGATGGCGATGTGTGCTTCAGGGGCAGAGGAAGCGCTTACTGTGCAACTTTTGCCACAGTAGTGGTGGGAGTTGTCGGGTGGCAGAGAGAACAATTGGACAACACTTGGAGTAAAATGCACCTACGGCAGCGCTATCCGGCTTAGCCCCAAAAGTGGGTCGTGACGGCAATGGTGGAAAACGGACTACCGACACCAATGGAAGTTGTTTGATGAGGTATAGAGACCCTGAAATGGAATCACAATATAGGCGGGATTTCCTCATACCAAATCTAATGCTGTTTCATAGCACATCATATTGTAAAATTATCTTCTAATGCATATATTTAACCTTTCAAGGCTGTTGGCCACCGAATAAGGGAGTAAGGATGGGGTCAGGACCAATCCCCTTGCAACACTAATCAGTGACACTGATAAATCGTGTGTTAGTGTAAAGCAGTTGAAAAAGTCAAAGCACTATAGCAGTAGTGTTTAGTTCGAAGCTACAGCAAGGAGTAGTCTGTCAAAACCGACCAATTTTATGGGTGCATTTATGAAACTAATCACTGTAAAAATAATTCTCTGATGCAAAATTATGTGTTGAAATTGTGGGCAAGCATGGAGAAGTGCAGAAACAAAGAAGGCAGGTCTTTGGGTTGGGAGGCAGCCGTACAAGGCCCAATATCAAGAGCCATGAATTTGTGCCATCACTTATGGGTAGCCACAGAGGTATTTGCTACTACGGGGCCTCAGTAGACACTGCTTCTCACTTTCAAACTTGCTGATGTGTTGACCTGTCTGAACTACTAAATGATGAGTGACGAATGTGTCGATCAGTAGCACAACGTCATCTGCTTTCTCATGAGGTTTTTGAAAAGAATTGTGCTTTGTTCTTATTTAAAATACCTAGCTATTATAATGGTAACGCTACTTTATCGCTAGTCAAGAGCACATGGCATAATCTAAACAGTCTTATTTTGTGGTATTTTTATGCCTTTGTAAGCACTTTTATGGCCACAACTCTTAAATTGGCATAAAGTTAAGTCAGTTAGCGTAACCACGGTGCCATCTTACGTGACTCCCAAGTTTCCCATCTTTCCTTTCTAATGCAATCTTGTCTCGCTTATTAAATTCAGCCTTTTGATAAGAGCCGTAACTGATTAAAACAATGCAGCAAAGTAAAATCCACACTTCTTTGATATGTAGTGTATCCAGTTCAGCAGCCCATGCCTGAGGTGACGCCTCCACCAGTTTCCTTCCTCGCTAATGGTAAGTTGCAAGTCTCCTCTTGTTAGCGCAATTTTCACAGCCTCTATCATCGACTCCACATTGGCAACACTTTGAAGGACGTATCAGTACACCTAACCATAAATGATAGAAAAGTTCATGTGGAATCTGTTAAAAGCCCAGTATACTCTTGCTCCTTTCCATTTTATGAGGGCCCACTTAATGGGGAGGCAGCTTACTCCCTCAGCATTCGCATCAGTGCAACTTAGTTGGCAATAAATCCACCCACTACAGTGAATATTCTGTACTTGATAATACACGACATTAATCTCACTTCCTTCGTTTTCCCTCCACTAACAAAATTTTGAGTCCTTTCTTTAATTTATAATCCATTAGTCATTTTTCCGCATAACCTCTGCACTAAGTTCTAACATTTAACAGTAATGGTATTGCATATTCTAGATATTCCAAGACTTGAGTCCTCTGACCATTGAGTTTTCATATTTTCGATTGTGACAAAGGTGGTAATTGAGGGGAAAAGTTGGATGCTTCTTCCACAGCGCATTGATAAGCAACGATTTCTCGGTGGGTCAATCCTCATTGCTTGATATTTAAGTGGATAGACTGACTTCAATTGTGGTCATCATGGCAGCAATACCGAAGCATTGCCACTCAACACATTGTAAGCAAAAACGTGACATTGAGACCCACCTTTTGCTCATAACTCAGCAATACCACCATCAAAGGTTTGTGTGGATGCTTGTACAAATGATTCTCTGCTCTTGAAAACGGTGCAGTTTTCATAACTTACCTCTTCACAGATTGGCGCCAGCTCACACAATTAAACAACGTGTCATAAGGCCAGCACAACAAACTCTGCTTTCATCCGTCTAGGGTGAAATTGCACTTAAGAAATAAATGCAAATCATGTGAGCTGGATTGATGCTGCTGCAGAGTGATCCCAAGCACTGTTAATCAAAAGGTATCTAGTCGTGCGATAACTTTTGTAGAACTTTTAACTTAGTTCTATGTTCATCATTGTAGACGATATAACCAAAGGGCCTTGTTGAATAAAAGGCTGCAGTGAACAGGTTCAGTGGGCATAATACGACATGAGTAACAGACACTAAAAGGACAATTCATTTCTTTTAGAAAATATTACTCATTTTTCACCAAGTGTTTTACGATGGGAATATTTTTTAAGCATAGGAAATAGATATTTAAAGCACGACTACTAGCAAAACTTTATCGCAGTCCGTTGTGGTACCATACAGTGGTGGCATTTCGAGCACAAGAAAAAGTAAAAAGCACAATAAACATTGTACATTCCACCAAATAGGTTTAGTCCCAGGAAATCCACCTCAATCAAGTGCTGGCTATTGGTGGAATTTGCAATGTGGGTAACGTCCCCTGGTAGTTCATCAAAATATTAATTATGACTTTAAAGCTGACGTTAAATGACAACTTGACACGTCATTATGCCATCTGTCAGTCAAATTCTATTTTATCTGACTTATTTTATACATTTTTCTAAGTTAGCGATCAATTCAAAGGCTTTGCCTGACCGGCTCCTTTATGCTCAATACTCCAAGCAAGGTCACCCACCATTCTCGTCTGACGCAACCGCCTCTAGCCAATAAGCTTCAGCCTTATGACACAAGATCAGTGAAGTGAAGCAGAACCCCACTTCTCTCACATGCAGTCGTTTCATTTCAGTGGCATACTGCTCCTGGTGACGCTTCTACCAGTATCCATTCTAGCTTATAGTGAGTTGCAAATTGTCAATCTAGTTCGTAATTGACAGCATCTGAATACTTAAGTCCATATGCTGGACAAATGCATGCCAAATTTGTTTAAAGCCTTGATCGCTCTTTCCCCTTCTTATTTTACGGAAATTTGCTTAATGGAGAGGCAGCTTCTACTCTCGGCATTTGCATCAGTGCAGACCATTTAGTCGTAACTCCTCCCATTAAAGTGAGTTTTCGGCGATTTGTAACTAACTATAATAATTTTGTCTCATTTATTTTTCCTTCAGCTGACATAACACCTAAGCTTTTCCTTTGACCTAGATCTAATAGTATTGTTCTCACACTTCACCTAGTTTGGACCAAAGTAATGCAAGCAATGAAGTTTTGAGCTCCAACACTAATCCTCCGCCCATTGATTTGCATATTTCATTTCCTAGACAAAGTGAAAATTGTGAGAACAAATTTGGACATTTCTGTGCAAGTAAAGTAAGCCGTGCATTCTACGCCAAACTGGAATTGCTGGCAGTGGATTTCAATGATGAGCATGTGCAAGACTTATAGATCTTTGCTATACCAGCTAGATTTTTATAACTTGAATGTCAGCAAAGCCAAAACAGTAATTGGAAATAATTTTGGTCTTCGTATCCAACCTTGGTTGACAAATCCCTATGTGCATCCCATTACTCAACCACTCCTCCACCTGCAGTCCTTCCTTCATTTCTTCCGATTACACTCGTCTTCACCGTAATCAGTGTATATCGGTGAATGTGAAGCAGTGTACCACTACACCTCTACTTCGATAAAGCCTGTAACCCAAATGGCCTCCACCGACTGCTTTTCACACATCACGAATTGTTGAAAGTAGTGCAGTTGAACGAATGAAGTGACCTTCTCAGTGGAATGGGTTTTAATATGGTGATATAAGCACTGGTTCTGTGGTATCCTTCCCCTTCACAATCTCACCATTTGCACTGGTAGATTACCATTAGCTTCTTTGAGGTATGGGATGCTATTTTCGAAGTCGGCTTTTGGTTCCTCCATTCTGCATCACTGTCTTGGTAGACAGAATTGACCAACCCGAGTCTCACCCCGTGGCATCCTATGGGGCAGACTCCCAACACTGACCTCACCAATTCCCGGCTCTGGCCTTGGAATCGTAGACGGAATCGGATTTGGCTGATTCTATGCCCAAAAGCTCCAAAATATCTGTTACTTCGCCCGCTACCATGGATTGACAAGGCGAAATTGTAGCGCTGGTTTCCATAAATGCTATGGTCACAAACCTCTTGCTCTCACTGACAGCCGTTTCCTGACTGCTGCATGTGTATTATAACATGAATAGCTACAGGCCTACTTACCTTGGAGTTATTCTGCAGCACCAGGTATGCCCAACTGATAGTAAACACAGTTGCAAATTAAAGTACCAATGGGGTCAATGTGTGCTGTGGCATTGAGACATCTATGGATCTTCATTGGGAAATCAGTCCACGTAATTGGAAACAGTACTTCAGCTACTGCATGCACCATCCCAACCCTAGAAATATTAATAATCCATTTCACTAAGGAATACCCTTTATTTTGAGGAGAGATTTAATGAGGTGTACACATTGGATTGCTCAACGGAGGGCATATAAGAAGGACTGGAGTTCATTTTCAAGCCTTGATTTGCTTTCACTGATTATTTGGTTTTTGAACAAATTAGCGTCTAAGGGTAAAAACCCTATATAGACATATGCGCTATCGAAAACTGGTGCCAACAATTCCAATTTGACTTCCGAGCGCACAGCTTTTCTTACTTGCATAGAAATATCCAACTTTAGTTTCCCTACATCTATTTTACTCACGAGCTAAAATATCAAAATAAAAAGGCCAGATGAGCCGGTAAATCGACTTTAGAATGAATATAATACCAGATTACATTGCCCTCAAAAACTGGTAATCATTGCGAAAGAATTGTACAAGTGTTTGAAACTGCTGCACCTAAAAAAATGCCTAGAATATTTGGCTGTGAATGGTAGCGCGATTCTGTAAGCTATAATTTGTAGGAGGAGGGAGGAGACGAATGAATGGGATTAATGCAGCAACGCGTAAAGTATAGAAAACTTGCCGAAGAGGGCGGAGATAATATCATCCGGGTTGCATTGACACAAATACCGAGGGTATAAATCACCTCTCCATTGAGCAGAGCCTCATGAAATGAAAATGGGCACGAGCGAACAAGGCTTTCGACAGATTTTACATGAAATTTTTCAGCATTTGTTGCTAGGTATTCTGGCGCATCCTCCAGAGCGCTATCAATTATAGACTCAATGGTAGAGCCTGTGCCAGTTGTGTCAATAAGAGGAAATTTGTAACTCACCATAAGCGAGAATGGACACTGGCAGAAGCGTTGCCAGTAGTACGATGCTATTGAACTGAAAGTACTGCATGTCAAGGAGGAGAAGTTCTGCATTGCATTAATGGCCCCAGCTTTTATATGCCCTTTGTCATGAGGTTGAACCAGTTGTTGATAGGTGGTTTATCCGAAGAGAATGGTGGGAGACTTGGAGGCCACACCAGATGGCACCACAATCACGCTTGTTGGTGTGGTAGAGGTTGAGGCCATCAGTGGTTGCTGCACTTTTGACCTCTTTAGAAGAATTGCTTAGATATGGCGCGAGTTTGATCAATTGAAATTAAACTGGTTTCATATTTGTCACGAAAAAGGATAGACAATTTTACCGCATTTATTCGGAAAATAAAAAAAATTCAATTTATTAAGGGCTAGCGTATACATGGGATAATCTCGGGTAGCCAAATCTATCAATTATTACGGAGAGTCTATCGGTCTGACTCCATAAAATAAAAATTTTGGATTTAGGGTAGGGTTTACGGATTAAGCTAGCTTATCAAGTCTTTGTAATGGATTAGGGTCCGGCCCCTCCCGCGGTATACTTAGAAACCGCGACTGTCTTGACGCTCGATGCTCCCTTCCTCGATGTGATGCTTCTCTTATGTCAGCCATGGATCGCTCTCCGGTAGGTGGAGGTGGTTCTAGATCATGCAACCCATCAGACCACGAGGAGAGATTTCCTTAGTCCCGGGGCCGCTTAGGTTCCCGACAAGTCATCAGTCTGGTGAATATACATTCTGAATTTGCGATTTATCCACCTGTCTACTTACATTTACCTTCCATAGTTCTATTACGATCATTTTTATATATATAATTACCATGAAATTTGTTATCTTAAGGTGTGGATCGCATAGATCCTAATGACTTTTCGCTTTTATTTTCAATATAGGAACTAGACTGAACGGGAAAAGGGCCTTTAATGTGGATTTTATGGGCGGTAATGTATTACGCATACGCACGACAGATTTTCTGCCTAGGAACCTGGGGTACGACTCCTATTTTTGTCAGAACTGTTTACGTTTTCGATACCGCCGATGAGTCATTGTCATTATCTTCAATATTGAAGGTAAAGGATCGCATAGGGCACCCAGGACAGGTAGATTATTTGCCATTCCCGAGGTAGAGGTGCATGCTGTCGCATTACAGGTTCTGTTGCAGTGTCACACAAGTAAAGCGAATTTGGAGCGGTAGTAGAACGGTTTGGATAAGGAGGTGAGGCTCGAATTCAACGTCAATGCCTGCTACAGTCGGTTGGCCAGTGCCTTCGCCAGGGATCACACAGATTTCTTTTTATGCTCGAGCTGCGCGGTGGTCTGTCGCACCTTATGAGCTGTGGCATTTCCTTTCTCACTTTCTCAGGCGTCGATGGCACCCAACAGCAACGCCATGAACGCAGAGGCGATATGTAAGTAGCCGGAGTTGTACTTCAGTGATGCCAGGCTCTCTTACGATGTTTTCTTCCTCGTGGAAGTGTAAAGAACATCCGTTGCCCTGTTGGCTCTGAATATTTTTCTTCGCCGCAACAAGCTAAAGTCCATTGCGGCTACCAGAGACCATTTGCTGTCAGCAGCAGAACGCTCAAATTGCTGAAAGTCAATGCGTCTAGTGCAATTCCTTTTTGAACCACAGTAAATCTTCTCAAGGCGCTGTCATTCTACAAAGGACTCTGTTTACTTTCCATTTCACCTTTACAAATTGCATTGTGCCTCCCACAAACTAAGGGGGAAGAGAAGGAGATGGATCAAGTGATTGAAAAGGGAAAACAGAAGAGGAGACAGAAGTAGGGGACGAAGAAGACGAATTGGAACAGGCCTAGTCAACGGTGGGTCATAATCAAATTGACGAGGACGTAGGCGTCCATAGCGCTGTAGGGAGCTACCCCTTTGCGGCTGATATGTCGAAATCCACTTGGAAAAGTTCGGCTAGGTAAAGTGCATCATTATGCTGTAGTAAGGGCAAAACGCTTCGTTAATGCAAACAAGCGTATCAGTTGGGGGTTTTCAAACATTTCATGATGTAATTTATTTCAGAACACAATTTCCATTTACTAAAATTGTGGGTGATTGCACTAATTCGAAGTCGTCAAACTACCTGTTCCGGGTACTATCGTCCAGTCATTTAAAGCTTGCACAGCAAAGGTGTTCCTGAGCACTGAGTAACATGATTACGACCTTTAAAAGACCATCTGATTTACTGCTGGGAATTGTAATCCGACAACTATGTTGCAGTTACTTTCGGGTGTATTCGATACAAAGATGTGTAAGCACATTAATAATTATCTTAGGAGCACGTGGCATCAAAGAAATCCTTCTAAAATGAATACTTGCGAGACTGATATGTCTCGAGACATTCATACCAGATTGATGTCACTGTAACAAAAATAGGCATAGATTTGGTTGTGCTCTAATGATCTGGATTGTTGAGTCATGGGGCATGGGTGGGTACCATTTTCGCGTGTTTGATTTGGTGTGTCGGCTGGCAATGCTGGTTCACAGCACACTGCAAGTCAGTCCACCCACCTAATTAGTGACCAACCGGGCAGCACCTACTGAGACCACCAGTTGATGTGTCGTGAATGTCTGGCACAACAATTTTAGCCTTGTTACTACATTCAGGTGCACACAACCCGCAAGCATCTTAAGCCAGACGGTTCATTTCATTTTGCGATCATTATGCTAGCAACATTAATTCAGGCATCAGGATTTACCTTTTTTCCATTGAAGCAGTTCGTATTGCCACGGTGCTAATAGCCAATTTAGAAATAAATCGTTTGCATATTTGCAGCAAACAGGGATAGGCACTTTAATAGGACCCTTAAGGACAATGAAAAATTCATTTTAGTAAGTAGTATGGTTTTTGCGACGATCACGGACAAACAAACTCATCAGTCTTGAGTAATGGGGATTTATCAACTAGACTTCATAAAATAAAACTATTTGGTTTAGGGGTTGAGAAAGCTTACTAAAGCCTAGTTACGGAATTAATTCTTCTTACTTTACGCTGCAGTACAAAGCTGATACTAATGGTGTGACGTTTGTTTTATCAATTGGGAAAATTGGCACCAATGTTAGGCTTGAATGAGGTTGTTACCAAGGCGAGTGGGACACTTTTCGACCTAGGTGGACGGTTACACAAACTCACAGTCAGTTGGCTTCACGGGAGTTCGCGTATGGTCACGGTACTCAGGCAAAGGCTCTTTGTTCAGAAGAAACAAGCACACACCTAGCAGTCATGGCCATCGAAACCTCATCCCCTTTTAACTAGGAGAGAAGACACCCCGTAAATGCATTAAAAATCCTTGCAAGCTACTGGTTCCTTCGCTATGAAGCTGCTGATCGAGAATTTGATCTGAAAACATGCTCCTCCCCTCACCCTGTGGTGCGCTAAGCCAGGTGTTTTTTTTTCAGAATCATTGGTTTGCATACAGAATAT